TCAGAGGAACTTCTCGGGGAATATCAAAGTGGCTTTAGGCCTGGTCGATCAACAACAGATCAGATCTTTGTGCTAAGGCAAATACTGGAAAAAACCAATGAATTCAATATCGATACATACCATCTTTTTGTAGACTTCAAATCTGCCTATGATAGTGTCCTAAGAAATAAATTGTATGAAGCAATGAATGAATTCCACATCCCCGATAAACTGATAAGATTGGTTAAGGCTACAATGCGTAATGTGGTTTGCAAAGTCGAAATACAGGGCGAACAATCACAGGCGTTTGGAACGCATGTTGCGCTGCGACAGGGAGAAGCGCTGGCGTGTCTCCTTTTCAACATAGCACTGGAAAAGGCGATCAGGGATGCCCGAATAGACAACAGAGGAAATATTTTTAATAAATCATCCCAAATTTTGGCATATGCAGATGATGTGGACCTAGTTGCCCGCACAACACGCAAGCTAGAAGAAATGTATACCACCTTCTCAAATGTCTCAAAATCTATGGGCCTGCAAGTAAATGAGGAGAAAACTAAGATGATGGCATCAACACCCAACAATAGAGCCAGGAACATCGGTCACCAATTCACGGTTGATAACTCTACCTTTGAAGTGGTTGACAAATTCACATACTTAGGCTCCCTGATCACCAAAGAGAACGCCATAACGGAAGAAATCAAGCGAAGGATAGTAATGGCAAACAGATGCTATTTTGGACTGAGTAGACATATGAGAAGTAGAAACTTAAGCCAAAAAACAAAAATAACTATATACAAAACCCTTATACAGCCAGTGTTGACATATGAATCGGAGACATGGACCATCTCCAAGGCAGACGAAGACCTTTTGCTTATATTTGAACAAAGGATCCTGAGAGGAATATTTGGTGGCATCTGTGAAAATGGTGTTTGGAGGAGGAGATACAACTACGAGGTATGCCACAGATATAAACAAATATTTAGTGGTAAAGGCATAGTATCTCTTATAAGAATAGGGAGATTAAGATGGGCAGGACATCTAGCAAGATCACAGCAGAACTACCCTCCTATAAGAATCCTTATGTCACAACCCGTGGGAAGCAGAAAAAGGAGTAGGCCAAAACTCAGATGGAAGGATGGTGTAGATGAGGATGGTAGAAAGATAGGCGCAATGGATAGGACTGCCTGGCGTAATAGGCTTGGGAAGGTCGAGGCTCTTTCATAGGGCTGTAGCACCATTGATGATGATGATGTCAATATTGTACTTTAAAGTTTTTTAAGAAATACTTTACAATTCTCTTGCTAGATATTTTTGATAAATACGTAGTAAAATAAAGTGTCAGGATTGGAAAATCATTATAAATAACAACTAGTTCCTGTGTAGAATTTCAATGAAATTGCAAAAAAATATACCGTGCATTTGGATTTATTCTGTATAATAAATATATTTCTAATTAGTTAATAAGTTTTTAATCGGGGACTATTTCCAATATAAACGAAAACAACACATCGTCATAAATATTTTCGTTATAAAGTTTATTATCAAAAATATACGTAACTGAATTTTCAGATCTCAAAAGCTTTTAGATTGTAACGAAACGAAACGAAAAGTGTAACAGGTAACAGGCAATCTTCCGCATTAGAAATCAGTGTCTTGGGTCAAAAATGCTGGTGATGAGTTTACCTATCTACGGTGATGAGTTTACCTATCTCTAAAGGATTCGGGTGATCAGTTTATTATATCTCAAAGGGTCTAATAATTTTATGGGGGCTGTATAGTGATGAGTTCGTACACGTCCCTTCATAATCCTTCAATTTTATTGTATCTTGTACTTTGTTTTTTATACAGTGTCATGTTATGTTTTTTAAATGTATTTTATTTTAGAAACAATAAATTTATCTTTTAAATAATTGATAGATTCGACCATTACTTAATGGAAATTCATTTTATGTAACAATAAAACACTGAAAACTTTGTTTTCAAACTTCGACAAAAATTTATTTTAACTCTTATCACTACAGCTGTTTCGTCTGATTGCCTTTCTCAAGTGATATATTTTTGGCATTTGTTTACACTTTATAGTCTCTAATGAAATAGGTTGAGAAGGGAAGAACTGTTGGTCTCGAGTTGGTCATTCAGAATTATATCTGTGTTTTTTTAATTTGTTGATTTTCATAGATTCTAACAAGGATTTTTAAGGAATTTTAGGATTTTAAGGAATTTTAAATTCGCCGTTAAAAGAATGATTGTGATCTAGAAGGTGAAGTGCGTATATAGAATCTGTTTTTCTATTATTGAATGTCCTTTTATGTTCTGCTATTCGTTTGTTAAAGTTTCTACCGGTTTGACCGATGTAAGTTTTTATGCAGTCGCCACATTTAAGATTGTATACACCACTGTGTAAGTGTTTTTTATTTTGGCTCTTGTTGTTTTTGATATATTTGCCTAGGTTGTTATTTGTTCGGAAAGCTGGTGTTATTCCTTTCTTTTTTATGTGTTTGGTTTTTTTTGTTGTAATTTTGCCTGTATATGTAATCGAACAGAAAGTACTGGGTTTTTTCTCTGGTAGTGGAAATACTTATTTCAGGGCTTTCTTGTGTAGTTTTTGATTTAACATTTTATTAATTGTTTGTTCATTGTATCCGTTGTTTACGGCTATTTGCTTAATTATATTTAATTTTATCTCAAACAGACGACGTACCAGTATGTTTCACAGGAACTAACAGGCAACTTGACCAATTTTTATCGTATATTAATTCATTCAATAGTCATATTGAATTTACAATAAAAAACGAACAAAATCAATCTATAAATTTTTTAGATTTACAAATTATCAGATATAAAAACAAACATGACTTCTCCATATTTCACAACCCTACCCATACTGACACGACTATACACAATTCATCATCCCATCCAACACAACATAAGCTGGCAGCATATCATAGTATGTTACATAGATTAACAGAAATTCCGATGTCAAAATACAACTTTGAGATAAGAGCCAAAATAAAAAACACTTACACAGTGGTGTATACAAACATAAATGTGACGACTGTCCAAAAACTTACATCGGTCAAACTGGTAGAAACTTTAACAAACGAATAGCAGAACATAAAAGGGCTTTCAATAATAGAAAAACAGATTCTACATACGCACTTCACCTTCTAGATCACAATCATTCTTTTAACGATGAATTTAAAATTCTTCACATTCAAAATAAAGACCTTAAGCTATCCTTGTTAGAATCTATGGAAATCAACAAATTAAAAAACACAGATATAATTCTGAATGACCCACTCGAGACAAACAGTTCTCCCCTCCTCAACCAATTTCATTAGAGACTATAAAGTGTAAACACATGCCAAAAATATATCACTTGAGAAAGGCAATCAGCCGAAACAGTTGTAGTGATAAGAGTTAAAATAAATTTTTGTGGAAGTTTGAAAACAAAGTTTTCAGTGTTTTATTCTTAAATAAATTTATCCTTCTCTCTTGTCAGCTTTTCAACTATAAAAAATGATTTTTCCATGGAAACAGCAGAAGAGTTATTCAAATTGTTCTAAGTACTAAATTGCAATGTTTTTCCAATTTTTAAAACGATTTTTCCCGATTTTTTTTTAGTTCTTTTGAAAAAATAACTCTTTCTTTCGTGCTTATGCTACCCGTAGAATCATTGTAAGTTCATTTTTTTCAGACAACAAAAATGCTGTTATTTATATTATATTTATATTAAATAATTGCCTCCAACTCGTTAAAATACTTAACTCTTTACTAGTAAACACAACTTCTTAAAATGATATATTTTTGGCATTCAATTTTTAATAATGTAAAAAGTTCACCGAACTCAAAGGAGGAAAGAAAAAGTTTCGGTTATTGAGGTATATAAAACTCCAAATACTTGTCAAATGTTTAGCCAAGTCAACGTCCCCAACGTGGCACTTTTTTTACCTTACTTCTCTGGACTAGTACTTTTCTTTTTTAAAGTTAAATGTGTCGATAGCAATTAAAGTAAACTGTGTACCCAAGCTTAATCGAGCCATTCAGAGCGATGCTGGGAATATTTATATTCCACTATGCATCAACAATTTACCCATATAAAGTACTATCGTTCTTAAGGAAGATAAATATACGAAAGATGGTTACGTTTCGATTTAATTTGAGTCTCTTACCACTCCCTAACACCTGTTTCTGGGTCTAAACGTCATCAGATTTTTTTCTCACTAGAGGTCTCTAGTAGCATACTCTGGTAATTATTTTTCCTATAATTGCCAGAGTAGTCAGTGCGTTTTGATTTAGTTTGAGTCTTCTAACAAACTCTCTCTGATAACGGGTAAACCCAGAAACACGTGTTAGGGAGTGGTAAGAGACTCAAATTAAATCGAAACTCAAACGACTTTCGTATATCTTCTTTTTTATTTTCGGAAGTAGGTAGTCACGACATATTCCGGAATCAAACTTAATCTAGCATTTCATGGAGTGGCACTTCTTTTTTTCGGTTTGTAATTTAGTATTTGTTTACTTGTTCATTTTAATCTATTCTTTCTCCAAACTATTTTTTTTTGTTTTGTATTTTTATTAATGACAAGCATTTTTATAGAAGGTTATACCCCTCTGAATGTCTTATTACATGGCCGAAATATTGTAACTTTCCAATTTTTATTGTTTTTGTTATTACTGTGCTCTTTGTCATTCGGTGTAACAAACTATTTCTTTTCATATTCGATCAACCCAATTTATCCTCAATACTCATAGGTAGATCGACATCTCAAAGGCAACCAATTTTTTCATGATTGTTTCTGTAGGAGTCCAGCTCTCCATGCCAAACAGCAAGTGGAGAATATGTAGCAGCGTATTCCTCTGATTTTAAGGTTTGATATAATATCTCTATTAATGAGCTTTGACTTTTTTAATGCGTATCCTTATTAATTTGCCCATATCCCAGTTATCGTTTCTGTCCAAATAAGTCATATTATGGACTATTTCTAACTTTATACTAAACAGATAAAAATGTGAACTTAATATATAAACATAAGGTCTTCACTTACGTCTTTCTCCAAAAGGTTTTTTACATTTGCTTTCTTAGCGTCGCCCAAAAATACATGATCTTGAGGCAAAACTATGGAATAGTTAAATCCGTACTTCTCTTGAAGGATGTTTAAAATATCAAACGCAATACCTGTACCCACTAAAGATCCATTAATTCTATCATATCCACTCAGCTCTCCATTCTACAATAAAAAATATAAATTTTAATCAACGAGTATTTAAAAAAAGAGTTTTAAAAATTTTGATATTTTATTTGCAAAAGTTTTTGCTTAAATAAAAAAATTTGGTGAATTCCATAATATGCATCTATTTACACAGCTAAACACCCTGTAATTGAGTCTGGGTAGGTGCGTTATGCAGAACGAATGGGTTATCTTGAATGAAGGTAATATGAATACCTTTGCGCAGGGTGGCTTGGGCTCGGTCATAGATATGACAAAAGTCTTTCTCTATTTGGAAACGATGTTGCAATAATGTTGAGTAAGAGAATAAGGAAATTACAGCGAGTTCTGGGATTAAAATGTTCAAGATGTAAAAATAGAAGGTATAAGGTAATGAGAATCAGTACATGGTGCGGTTGCCTTTAATGAAGTAATTGCTATTAGTTTTTTAATGAGGTGTTTTGGAGACGGAACTTTGAAGATTAAAAAGCTACTAGCATAACGATATAACAGAGCAGAAAACAATTGTTATTTGTTCTTGTTCCGAGAACGAAATTCATTAAGGCGAGACGAAATACAGTATTTGCGAATGGGAAATATGAAGAGGTAAATAAAGGGTATTTGTTTTCACACGGAACCGATGTGAAGGTAATGATGACAGTAAACTTGAGTGATTCAAGTGATTTCTAATCCAACTGAAGAAAAATTTTTAGTTCCTTTAATCTGACTGAAGATAGAAAAGACGCCAAATTCAAATTTTTTATCACATAAGAAAAGAAGAGTACAAGTTATATGTAAAATCGATGGAATATTTGCATGAAAACTTAGTAAGTACAAAGTTGTTTTTTTTTTCGAAGGTTGGAAGTATGAAAGGCGTTTGAAGACTTTTTGGATAAGAGAGAACTGACAGAGTGAAAGGCATATTAAATGCAACAGTATGGCTTTCACGGTATACCGATAGTGGATGCAGTGTTTAAACTCAAAGAAATTGCTAGGATAGTACGACCGTGGCGGTCTCAGCTTGCGTAGAGGAGGGACTGTGAACTGAGTAGGGGTCCTTCAGCACTTTACGCAAGACAGACTGGGCGGGGAAGTCCTCAACCCCGACACGGCGCGTCCCAATGGCTGATAGGGAACGATCCTGTAGATATGCAGGACAGGTATAAATAAGGCTTAGCCAAATAAATACCCGCGGATCAACTGAGGACATGACACAGGTCTGCAGCTGTGTTATTAGTGGCCCGTGGCTGAGGAATAAAATTCCTGACAGGTGCGAAACCACAGAGTCGCAGGCGGCAATCAAGTAGATTTAACCGGCTGTGATACTGCGAATACTCACCAACCCGTCTGGCAAGTGTGGTGTTTTAATGCCAATATACCCCTTAAAAACGCGATGTCAGTTTTTAAAACAAGATATGATAAACAAATTGGGTTTTGCATGTTCGAAGGTGGGCCTGGGAATGAACTTGACCAAAACTAAGTTTATGACAAATTTGGTCCCCAATAACCATTTGACTATTCAAGACAAAGTGGTAGAACTGGTGGAGAAATATACGTATTTGGGTCATGTAATAAGAATCAGCAGGGATAACCAAACATGTGAGATCCAAAGACGAATTACTTTAATATGGGCAGCCTTTGGAAAACTGCCAGACACACTTAGGGCCAACATACCAATCAGCCTCAAAAGAAAAGTGTTTGACCAATGCGTATTACCGGTCATGACCTATGGGGCGAAAACTATGACTTTAACCAAGACCACGGCTTCGAAACTGAGAGTGGCACAGAGACGAATGGAACGGTCTATGCTGGGAGTGACGTTGAGGGACCGAATAAGAAACGAAGATCTGCGAAGAAGGACGAGTATTACCTACTGATGTTGTGGAACGCATAGCGGAACTAAAATGGAACTGGGCAGGCCATGTAGCGAGAATGCACGATTCACGATGGACGAGCAAAATTACAAATTGGAGGCCAAGAGCAGACAAACGCAGTAGAGGAAGACCACCTACACGTTGGACCGACGACATCAGGCGTATCACTAAAAATTGGCAACAAAGAGCACAAAATCGTGAGGAGTTTAAGGGAGGCCTATGTCCAGCAGTGGACGTGATAAATAGAGGCTGGATTATGATGATGATGATAAAAACAGAAGCCGTCTTGTTAGCAGAAAAGCCAACACTGAGGAAGCAAGACAACAGTATAGAGCTAGTGCAAATTTTAACGAACGTACGTATAAGTAGCCTATAGCCTTACTTTGTATTGAAAAAGTTTTCCTATGTAGACTGATGACGAATTTTGGCAGACTCAGGGCAAGTGCGAGTACACCTTTGTGCTTGGTAATTTAGTGCAAACAAAGCTGAATATTTTTAAGATCAAGAAATATGCCTTTAAGTCCAGATAAAAAAAAACTTCGCAGGGTTTTCAATGAACGCAGTGTTACTACTTAGGTAATAATTAAAGCGAATAATTAAAAATGAAAAAGTATACAGGGGGACCGAAGATGTGAGAGGCAGTGCAGATAGACGGCAGAAAGCCGGAATCTTATCACTACTTTTAAGATATAGGTCACTGAAAACACAGGGAGTTTAATTATCTGACTCAACTGTTCACGAGATATGATTTTGACTTATATCTGAAACGGATTGGTAAAGAGAAGACTAACGTAGATACCAACGAGTGTATACAGGTACTACGGAGCATACTTTGTATGCACAAAATGACTAAAAAAAGGAGAGAGATATACATAGGTGAAAGGAACCAAGTCAAGGATCTGATTAAGCTTCGTAGTCACAAATAATAACTGCGAATTTGCATAAAGGATGCGCAGTGTCCTGCGTATTTGATAAAATAAGTATACAGATACAGGCAAACCAAAGAAAGAGTGAACTAAGTTGAACTATGGGGAGTGATGAATAATACAATTCTAATCCAACCCTTTTCATACCATTTTATTTGAATGCGCTGGACCATATAGTCTAACAGACAAGAAGCTGTAAAAGTATTAGTGTTACCATAGATACCTTAAACTTATCCAAAATAAACGTTACTACTTAACTAATGAATAAGATGATTCCACCAAAGTAGCTTTTTATCAATTATTAGATGACAAATATATCCTAAGACCAAAAATGGCACTAAAAATCAAAGCTAATCAATCAGTGCAAAGTGCTGTCATATTTCCCCATAGCAACATACACAAAGGCATTTCTCGATAGAAAAGCGATCATCAACAAGGATTATGGACGTTAAAAGTAGACGAGGTCAGGCCACCTATTAGTTCAGGTACACTTTATTGATCCCTTTTCAAATACCACAAGGATTAAAGAAGGGAATGAGTCGGCAACAATACTGTTTTATTTAGCACTGGAATGCGTAATTAGAAAAATACGAGAAGTTAAACACAACACACTTATCAATAAATTAGTCCAACTAGAAGCATATGCAAATGACATAAGTATCATGAGCAGAACTAAAGCAACAGGTGAGATTACGTATACAAAACTCAAATCACATGCTAAACAAATAGGTCTATAAAACACAAAAAATACTTAAATCATCCTAGTACACAGTCGATAGGAAAGAGGACCCTACATGACAGTTGACAACTTAGAAAAATTAGATAGCTTTATCTATTTAGGAGTCAACACCACAAACCACAACATTGATGATGCAGAGCTTATCAGAAGAATCATCCTAGTCAATTAAATCGCGTAACGTACATAAAAAACCTAAGTTACGAATCTACAAGTCCATAATCAGACCGATAGTGAGGTATAGAAGTAAAACTTGTGTGTTTACTCAAAAATCTGTAAATCGCATAGACATGTCGGCTATAAATATAAGAACAACAGGTACGGAATCAGATATTATTATGAAATATATAATATATATAAAGAACCACCTTTATGTATACAGCCTACAGCGTCTTCAATGGCAGGCCATGTATTTGCTATGAAAGAAAACAGGCTTCTAAAAAAACTGATGAATACAAGAATACAATGAAACAGACCTATTGAAAGACCAAGAAAGCGATGGGAAGATGATGTGGATGACCACACAAGAAATCTCTTTGGCAGCCGATCGTGGAAGAGAATGGCTACCGACCGTAACGAATAGAAAGGTTTGCTGAGGGAGGCCAGATTTCAAATTGGGCTGTAAAGCCATTTTATGAATAGAAATTAAAATAAATAAATCAGTTTAAATAAAGCATTGAACTAAATTCAAAAACCACATTTTCATCACTTATTTATTCATGTTAAAAGTAGATATTAAACATACCTGTAAAGTTGTGATTAAAAGAGTTTCTGTTGCAAGGTCTTGTTCTAACTGAATAAGTTGTTGTTGTCTATAATTGCTTAGAGGTTGGGCTAGAAAACAAAAAAATAGATATAGTAGTATAATTATAAAATATTTGAAATATTTATTTCTGCAGCTGTTTCACTAAATTACTGAAAATCATCTAAAAGATGTTGGATAGTTTCTGAATAAATTTTATTTTTGAAGTATCACTGTTACTTTAGTCGTCAGACACAAAAATGCACTTAACTTCTAAAAATTATACGAATAGGCTGGAAATGATTTTAGATGGAAATGATTTTATGAGTAGGAAAATGATTTTCTATTGACATCCTAACATTAAAAATTCATATGTGCTTAAGCCAAACTACTGACTGGATTAATTTATATTTTTTATAGACAATTAAATAAATTATAATAAAAACTATTGTTACTGGTTTTGCTTTCCACATAAAGTAACTGTATTTTCATTCATATATATGTCCATTAATCAAACCATGACAATGACATATATAGGGTCATATGTTCAACAATGAACCACACGTACACAATGAACCAATCAATCTTTCGTTAATAATACGCATTTTAGAAAAACGCCGGCACCACTGTACGAATGTACTAGATAACCTAGAACTAAATCTCAGTTATTGTTTTGCCACCACGAAATGTGCACGTGTTATAACGGATTATAAAAATTTGAAGGCATCGAGTAAAATTTTCAAGGTAAGCATTTTCGGTTTTATTTCTTACATGGGTGAATTATTTTAATTTATTCTCTGTGGTACGATACATTGATACATTAGTTAGTGTTTTGGTATATAACTCTAAAATACACTGTTGTAGATAATGACTTATTGGTCTTTGATTGTTATAAGGTGCGGTACGTACACAATGAACCAAACTATGTTGGGACACAATGAATCATGGTTCACTGTGTACCCTTCCAAGTTTTTAGATTTATTTTTATTTTCAGGATGGGTCGCGTTAAGAAAATAGAAAGAAAGAAAGGCGCACATACTGTTGATCAAATGAGGACAGCATTGGACTTAGTAACCAGGGGTATGAGTATTCGAAAAGCAGCAGTAGAAAGTAATTTAGCATATCCTACATTAAGGCGATACGTTGAAAAAAGAAAGTGTGCTCCAAACGAAAACATAAGATTTGTTCCTAACTACGAGACGAACATGATTTCACAAGTGAACAAGAAGATGCTCTTAAGACCTACTTGAAAACTTGTGCACTTATGTTTTATGGATTGACATCTGTCGAATGTAGAAAGGTTGCATATCAAATGGCTCAAAGGAATAATATCAAAATTCCTGATTCATGGAGGAATGCAGAAATGGCTGGCAGGGAATGGCTCCGAAGTTTTAGGAACAGGCATACAGATCTGTCTCTGAGAAAACCAGAGCCGTGCAGCCTGGCACGTGCGACAGCATTTAACAGAGATAATGTTAATCGCTTTTTTGACAACTTATATGCTGTAATAAATCGAAATGCCGCATTTTCTGACGGTACAAGAATTTACAACTTGGATGAAACTGCAACCACAACGGTGCAAAAAACTCAGAAAATATTGGCACCAAAAGGGAAAAAGTGTTTGGGTAAAGTCACCAGCGGTGAGAAAGGGACACTAGTAACAACGTGCTGTTTTATATGTGCCGGTGGTTATGCTTTACCACCAGCAATAATTTTTCCGCGGAAAAATTATAAGGATTTCATGTTAAAAGGCGCCCCCACTGGCTCTTTAGGCCTTGCTACGCCGACAGGATGGATGAATTCGGAGTTGTTTGTAGAGGTAATGAAACATTTCATTAAACATAGCAGAAGCTCTCATGATAATCCATCAATTTTAATATTCGATAATCATGAATCTCACTTATCAATCGAAGCCTTAGATTTGGCAAAAGCTGCAGGGGTTAATATTGTAACTTTGCATCCCCACACATCGGCTAAATTACAGCCACTTGACGTTGGTTTATATGCGCCGTTCAAGACGTATTATAACAGTGCCATAGAGTCGTGGCTTCTAAGAAATCCTGGTAGGCCGATATCTATTTATGATTTAGCTGAATGTATTGGAATAGCACACAGTCGTTCCATGACTCCTACAAATATAGCCAATGCCTTTAAAAAATGCGGTATATATCCCTTTGATCGGGATATCTTTACAGATGAGGATTTTTTGCCAAGTGAGGTAACAAACAGACCATGCCCAAATGATGAAAGTTCTAATAATACAAGAGACCTTCAAGGAGGTGAACATAACGATGAAATCACTGTGCCAAATGAAAATGACAGTTCTTCAACTAATAACATTCAATCAGAAAACCCCAAACATACGGAAAGTCAAGCAGGACCATCATTTATTCCACCACAACAATTTATGCCTGCATTGAAAGCCCAACCTCGTCAAAATAATAGGAAGAACAGAAAAAGTAAAAAAAAGTATTATTGCCACAGATACACCGGAAAAAAACATTATTGAACAAGAAAGGTTGGAAGCTAAAAGAAAGAAGCAAATGAATGAAAATAGGCAAGCTAAGAAGAGAGTGCGTTTTGTTAATGACGATAATACAGATTCAGAGGAGGATGAAATAGATATCCTTGAGAGTGACAGTGACAGTGATAGTGGAGAGTATGAACAAGATCTTCCAGTTTTAAATCCAAATTTGTTTAGTACCCAAGGTTTTAACCCTAACGTAGAAGATTATGTCCTGGTAGAATTTCATCCACCAAGGTCAATAGTATATTTTGTGGGGAAGATATTACAGATAGAACAAGATGGGGAATATCGCATATCATTTTTAAGACTTAAGGATAAATATAGTGAGCAGTTTGTTATGCCCAATGTTCCTGATATAGCTTCCGTCAACAAGAAAGATGTGAAATATATTTTGCCGAGACCAAAACTATGTGGCAGCACAAAACGACAACAATCTTATTTTGCGTTTACAGTGTCTTTTTCTTTATTAAATATCAGATAGAAATTATACCTATCTTCAATTTTATTGTCCTTTTCACCTATTATTTTGCTTTTATATAATAAAACTTTGAAATCTTACTGTTGTTTCTGTAGACCTAATTTTTATTAGGTATGTTTAAAATAAAGCAGTTTGGTTCACTGCGTACGCAGCACTAGTTCATTGTGTACCACCCGTGGGACACAATGAACCAACGGCACTTAAAGGAAAAAAACAATAATAACTCAAAAACATTAATTTTTATTGCTAACCAAATTATGTGTAATATATTACTAATATGTGTTACTTATACTGGTACAATTTCGTGCTTCTAGGTTAAAAGGGAACTGATATAGACAATTTTAAATTTTGAGTGGTTCATTGTTGAACACAGGATCCTAGTGACAATATAGTTATTTTTAATACAAAATTTTTAATATATTTATAATGGTTTGTTTTGTGGAGTTCAATAGTATTAACAACTGTAATCTCACGACTAGTAAGTAAGACAATTAACAATTTTAACTAGTTAATTTATATTTCTTTTTATAGATGTCTTGAAAAAGAATTAAATAAAATTCGAAAGCTTGACAGTAAGTCAAAGAGTTTTCTTTGTCTTGTGGGCCAAATAAACTGACTGCATCCTCAAAAATCATAATTTATATATATATATATATATATATAGGATATATATATATATATATATATATATATATACATATATATATATATATATATATATATATATATATATATATATATATATATATATCATACAAGCCTAACTACAAAAAAAAAACAGCAAAAAAATGAAATGATCATACGCGTGATATCGTTAGTTATCGTATAATTTAGCTGTCTTTATAAGTTTTACCAAGAAGCCTATCAGTAGCGGAAAATTTATTTTTTTTAGCATATGGTATATTAAGAACACATAAAAACAATATTTTTAAAAAAAGCCTTAAACGGAGTGTTACAAACGAACATATAGTATATTAATATACTCTAAAATATTTTCGGTCTCATTCAGGAATTCCATCTTCTTAGTTTTTCTTGCTGTTGTGTCAATACCTTCCTTACCTCTTTACTTCTTTTATTTGAATTCCTTCTTGCTATGTTTTAGTTTCTGGTGAAGTTTTCTCGTCTCTATTGGCTGATTTAGTTCTGGTAGTTCTTGAACTTCTTTATTCATAGTTTCTCTCTTCTTTATGAGGTAGATTCTCTTTTTCTTCCTTATGTAGTTATTTATATTACTCCTCTGCTTGTTGGGTTCTGTACTCCTGTTGCATCATTAAATATGCTCTGTTTTTTCTCTCTATTATACCCTGATATTTTTTGTCAAAACAGTCATTCCTTATTGTTCTTCTTTGTTAACCTTTCATGCCTAGTAATTCTTAAGCTGTTTCTCTCATAATGTTTCTGTATCCTTCCCACTCTTCATTTATGTTTTCCTGTTTTAGTCTGTTTTTTAGTTTAATGGTTATATTTTGTTTATATTCTCTATTCTTGTTCGTATTTTTAAGTCGTTCTACAGTGTACCGTTCATGTTTGCAACCGATTTCCTTTTTAAATGTTTAAAATTCTGGCCCACCCTACTTTTGTTCCAATAGTGTTCAGAATCCGCATGTGCGAACGTTTATTATATTGGATTATTGTCTTGAGTCTATAATAAAATGATGTATCATATTTACTGTAAGTAATCATGTTTACTGTAAGGTTCAAGCTTCAACTTTCTTGCAGGTAGTGTATATGAGAGTCCACGACACAACTCCATACAACAGTATAGGAGAAATATAACATATATGTATATATATATATATATATATATATATATAACATATATAACATATAAGACATAAGACACTAGCTTGAAACAGACAACCTTATGCCCCGAGGAGTAACAATCAGTTTGTTGTTACCTTTGGACATGTCAAAAAAATGACATTCAATTTTTGTGGAAAAATTGAAAGTCATTCTAGTCATGGCCTTTATCAGAATTTTATCAATTTTTAGATTGTCTTTATATATGAATTTGAATTTTGGCTAGTACTTGACCTTTGAAAGTTCAATTAGGATAACTTTGTTTATAATATAAACATGTCACAATA